ATAGAATAGAATAGAATAGAATAGAATAGAATAGAATAGAATAGAATAGAATCTGCAGAGTTCATAACAATTTGTAATTAAATTAGGAAGAAAATAAAAATAAAATGAAACAATATCATATAAGTACCAGAGTGCTAAAATATTAAATATTGAAGACTAATCACATTAGAAAACTATTCTGCAAGGATGTAAAATAGAGTAGTATAAAAACACGTAAAAATTTTGACAGCTGCCAAATTACTTCCCTTGTTTCTAGAGAAATTAAACAATAGTCTTATTTCACTGTTTCCTAATGATATCAGCTCTGAAACAGAATTTGGCAGCTTTAAAAGTGACATCATTGTTACAGTCTGAGAAGAAATGAAATTGAGAATTTGTCTGGTCTATCAGAGGACTAAGCCAAAAAAAAGGGGGGGGGGATTATGTGTTTGGTCCCACTTACTCGGACATTTCTTGAGGCCACAAAAGGGATACTAGTGGACCACATGCAGCCCCCAGACCACCCTTTTTGTATGCTTGCTGTATAACTTTGAATCCTCATAAATTAGGGAGAATAGGACAAAACTGGGAAGACAAGTTCTTTTACATTTAAAATCTTTCTGACCTTTTTAAAACCTATTTCAGCAAGTCTCACCTTATGGAAACTTCCATAAAATATTTTCTTTATATCAGGCCCTTCAAAGGTTACAGTCTGGAATTCTCCTTTGTAGTCATAATTGAAGAAAGTCAAGGTTTTGCCATCATCTGTACGGTGTGTGAGAGAACAAGGCTCAGAGAACTGTCTCCTCTTTAAGATTATATATTGGCTTATCATATTTTCAAGCAACAGACATAAACAGCCAGCTGGCCAAGGCAACATTTTAGAGAACAGGTTTCTATACTCCTTCTAAATGTGCTCCCTAAAACTGTGCAGCTTGTGTAGGCAAAAGGGGAGTGGGTTTTGACAGATGGATAAACTGTGCTCTCCTAGAAAAAGTGCAGAAGCTTAAATTGGTTAAATCTGAGCATCCCACAGGCAAAGGGGAAGCTATTTAAATCCACTTCCTCTTTGTCTGTGCAAGCCCACTGAGGTTAATGAAACTCCATCTTTCAGGGCTTTTTGTCAACCAATGAGATATTCAGGACACCCAGATATAAGTGCCAAATGTGGACAGTCCTGGTCAAACCATGACATATAGTTAATCTACAGATACATCACCTTAGATACCTTCAATGACAAAAAGTGATTATAAATATTATAAATAGATAAGATACAGCACAGATAAGTAGAAAAGCCTATGAAAAACTGGGTAGGAAAAGTATGTAGGTTCCCTTCAAAAAAGAAAATAGCAACTATTGCTTCTTAAGTTCCTTGTTGATAAAATGCAAGAAATAGAAATAGAAATAAATTAATCAATCACAGCATACCACAAAGCCACAAACACTTACTATCCAAAATAACTCCAACCAATGGCTCATAGCTTTCATTTAAAATCTCCCACAGAGCAAATGGTTCCAGGGGTGTTTCAGGAAGGATGCGGAAGAGAAAAGTAATGGTGTAATCTGACGGGAGACCCTCTGGGTGTAAATATCTGTGAAAGGAAAATAAGTTTGCAGAAATTGATGTTAACAAAGAGAAAAACATTGGCAGAAATCCTACATCAGGAATGCACAATTTTCATTGGTCCAAGGCCACACGAGGCCATGCAGAATATATCAAGTGCCAAACTCTGTAAGTATACAGAGCTAGGAACCATCTGGGAGCAGAATTAAGTGAGGAAATGGGTGCCTTAAGAGGACACTCTAATTTTGCCCCTTAAGTATCTTCATAATTTCAACTGTATGTAAAGGGTCAGCATTTTGGGCTCATCAACTCTGTGAGCACTGGTGGGGCCACAAAAGAGATGCTGAACTGCTCCATAAAATGCCAAGTCTTTACTTTGTGCCCTACAATCAGCAATCCCCATAGCTGTGGGAGCTCCTTCAAGACAAACCAACTTTATTGGGCATAAGCTTTTGTGAGGAGCACAATTAGTCTTGAAGGGATTACCACATTCCATGTTTATTTTGTTGCCATTGGTAACATGGCTTGTTCCCCCCAGCATCTCTCCTGAAAGAACACAACACTCTAATCAAAACTGTTTCTGATGATCTTTTATTGTTGCATTTTTTAATGTTTTTTCATTTTTATTTTTCAGTGCTCAGTTTGAATAATACAAAAGGAGGCTTATACATGCTCAAATCAAACACAGCAGAAACTGTTCAAGAGATCAGAGAGGAATATGTTAGTTATTGCTCACAAAAATGTTGCTGCCAGTGCTTTACTAGGATTGAAGGTAAACATTAGTAATAAAACTACATTTGTATACCAGTTGAGACAAGACTATTTCTCAATCAATTAAGATCTGTGATCAAAATAATAAACATCTTACTTGGAAATCTTTAATGGGCCTAGCAATTTGTGTTTGTTTATTGATGGATAAAATGGGAGGAGGTAAATGGAAAATGATGATCTTACTGTAGTTTTTAAAATTTCATTTAATATTCTTTTTGTAAGTTACACACCATTTGATTAACTTCAGTCAACTGCAGACACGTATCTCTATTTTAAATTTATAATTACACATTTTAAAGAGTACAACGCACATGCTGTAGATGATACAGAAAAGAAAAGAAAATGTTTTTTTTTCCTTTATGGACTGAATTTGCAAGTTTTTAGGAGTACCTTGCATGTGTTTGTTACTCCTGCAATTACTCTTCACTGATGGTACACATGGAGAAAATGGACAGGGAGTCCATTTTTCTATCCTCAAGAGAAGGCCACTATAGGACAAATAAAAAGCACTGTGTCCATCCACTCACACACACAGCAGCAGAACAGAACACAGAAGGAAAATAACATTTATTTAGTCATTCCGTCATTAACAAGAAGTACGAGGTTGATGCAAGGGGTAAACTTTGATTGCATGATCGTGAATTTTCTACACATTTGCGGATACCCCTAGATTACTATCTTTTAATCTGTTTCTTATTCTGTCAACTCATCTTTACACCTTTAGCTAATGACATGACTTTTCATTGTCCAATTGGAGACAACTGCCAAGTCCCACCTGAAAAATTGCTGAGACCCCAGTTGGGTTCAGAGACTCCATTTGAAAAACAATGACTACAATGAGTGATAGATTGGTCTGTATTCATTCCAAACTGCCATAGAGAAACATGTTTTATGATTGGTCCCACATTTAAATGTGTCAAGTTAATAGAATGCTAGAAGAACTGGGTCAAAAGAGTATAAGAGGTAACAATGAAAACATTGGGAAGTTAAGTGCTGTTTTATGCCAGGCAGGTAGTATTCAGATCAGATTTTTGCTCTTCAGAAGTTCACTGAGAAATGTGAATGTGAAAAATGAAAGTTTATTGTATGATAATTGATTTATAGAGTGAAGTGTGTCCTCCTGCCTACTTTATTATATAGAGGTGAGACTTGAGTATATCAGGAGAAAAATTAAGGGAGAATTTAATGCAGTGGGAATGGGGTGTATGTGGCAAAGCAAGAAGAAATATTAGGGATTGCACTGAGTTGATAAGATCTTAGAAAGGGAGATGAGAAGTTTGAAAAACAAGAGGTAGTATACAAAGCTGTACGAATGTGATCAAAGCAAGGATAGCTTACAAGGACAGAAACATACGGCGAAGTAAAACGAATGGTGTTGGTGCACACTAGATTTAGTTGTTTCCTTTTCTTTTCTCTTATCTCAGGTACTACATTTCTTTGGCTTACTATTTGTTTCTGCATAAGATTGCTCTCCCGAAAGAGAATAGTGTGCCAGGTACATACATATGCAACCTATCATGCCTCCAAGTGTGCTGATAAAACAGCACAATTTGCTAGCTTATACAGATCATAAGATTTGAAAAGCATCACCAGTATACAGAAGGGTGTTAATAGAAGGAAGGCATTCTACCAATCATGATAAAATTGCAGCTTCCCCCAAACACCCTATCAATCCTTGCCCCTTTAATCCTATCATAACTGCAAAGTTTTGAGCCAACCTGAGTGAAAGTGTGCTGCGTGGATCCTCAAAATCAACATGCTCCATCAAACTGCATACAAGATTCCTGACCAACTGAGGGTCACCATCTCCATACTCAGCTGATAAATACATACCTACGACTAAATCTTTCAATGTTAATGCTTTTCCTAACTTTCTCTTGCCATGAAATTGGTTGCTGTTACTGTTCTATATTTTAATGTTCTTTTTAGGAGTAGAGAATGCTGTACCCTTGTTCATATATTTTCCCAGCCTGCAGTCCTCCAGATGTGTTGCTGTTACTTTGGGAATTCTGGGAGTTGTCATTGCCACACAACTGGAAAGCCCCAGATTCAGAGAGGCCGTATGACATTATGTTTTTAATTTGCTGAGATTTTCTTTTGGAAGGAAGCTAGGATATCATATTTAAAAAAAACAAATACAATGATCAAGCATATATAACTCAACTCCCCTTATCCCTCAGGGCATCTGTATGGCTGCTAATTATTCTGATGGTTGATAACGTTGCAGTGTTATAGACAAAATGACTTTGTTCTGCATAGAAAATTCATATGGGCTAGTACAAAGCATACAATACTATTACTGGCTTTATTCTAGAAAGCTTATAGTATTGTTGATTTCAGATACAGGTATTTCTACTCATTGCTTGCTCTTTTAATCAAATGATTGGGAGGGTCTGATTACAGAGAGTAGATTTTCCTAGTTAAACCACCCTTAAGTTCTTGGAAAATATGCTGCTGATTGCTAACGCAACGGTAAGACGTCTCATTCATCTTTTATCACTTTCACATAGCAAGCTCACACGTCTTGAATCGGGTATGCAGATAAGACTGACCACACCGAAACCAGCAAGCGTGTCCTCCTGAGGCAATTTTCAGTTCTTCAATGCTCCTCCAGAGGAAGTGGTTTGAAGAAAGCAAGGTCTATGATATTTAACTGTATCCTATCATTGTACCTTGGGTGATCCTTTTGGAAATATATACTCTTGGCATACACTCCTGGGAACACCCCCTACCACCACAATGTAGCAGCAGAGCAGGACTTGTGATGTGTGTATGATGGACAATATGAACACCTAATCTTACCTGAGTTAATCATTAGAGAAGAACCATCAGAACAGATTATACTGTACCTAGTATACTAGGAGTTGCAAATCTGAACGTACATTTGAAACACACTTGTAAGGGTTGACTCATCATCAATATTTCATCAGAAATAAAGGGATATTGGGGTGGAAGGGGTGAATAATTAGGAAATATCTTCAGGCAAACAAATGAAGAGAAGAGGAATTCCTGAAGATCAATGAATTTTGTCTTGGGATTGTGTACAATTCAAACTTTGTGGACTTTTATTTTGGGGGGGGCGAGTGTCCTCACTTGCAAGCTAAGAATTTGGAAAGAAATCAAAGGAATGTAAATAAGCTTAGAAAAAACTCAGATATCCCTAAAACCGAAGGGATATGCAATAGGATTGCTATAGCTCTGAGCTGTAGCAACTTCCTGTAAGACATCTAGCCAATGAGCAGATCAAATACTTGCTCTTAAACCCTAATCACTAAATTGGGCATCACCATCTTTCCTTTTCTGGGAGATACCCTTTGCACCATCAGAGACCATTTTGTTTAAATGAGAAACATAATTAAATGCTTGTTGCTTATACTATTGACTTGATTTGTTCCAGTTCTACACAAGGGTTTGGCTTGGAAAATAACATGCAATATTCTTAAGGCTTATACTTCCCGCCTCCACCCGTGTATCTCCAGTACCACGTTACAAACTTTGCTTCCCCCCACCCCCAGCACGTCTTTCATTGCTAATCCCTACAATCTGCAGAGTCCACATATGAGGTGAATTAACTTATCTCTCCATTTAACAAAATGCTCTTTTTCCAGGCAATACATTTCTCCCTCATAGTCAACATCTAAATTTAATGCCAGAGTGAGACAGACAATGAACCAGTTTAACAAATAAGGAGGAATTTTTGAGCAGAAATCCAGCCCCGGGAAAAATTAATACTGGTAACATGCCAGAAAATGCGTAGGCAGCTTCGCATTAAGAGCAGAGTTGCTTACTTTAAATGTTTTGGGGGAAAAGGATCTGCCCTCTATTCTTTTTGGAAAGCAAGTTAAAACTTCAATCCAAAAATAATACTACAGTGAGATGTCTCAATTCAGGCATCCCTCCAAAACCAGCATAACTTGTAGACCTTCTTTTCCCTTACCAAATGAATAATTGATAAAAGGCAGGATGATGGGGCTTCAAAGATTAAACAAGTTCCTTGTTCCCAATAGGATGTCCTACTGTGAGAGCAGCCCAGGATGCTGGTTTTTGGGAGTTTTCCATCTTTACAAAACCTTATAGGCATGTGGAATAAATCTAATGCCTGTAGAAACTTAAAGTGATTACCCATACTGGATTGTATTCAGAAGCTGCACAACCAGGTACCACTGAAGATATGAAAGTGATCTGCTCATATCTTGCAATTTCCCAAATTTAAGGGGAAAGGAAGGCAATACTGTTGGCTCTGGTGATTATCCATACATCCGTCAGCTTCTTGCAGAGGCTATATCATTTGCCCTTTGTACCCTGCAATTACAGGGAAAGAACAAGGCTAAAGCTGCATAAATGCAGTGCAAATCTCTCCTATTCTCACCCAAACTAAGGGTGCAAGATAGGTATAACAGCAGAATTCCTTCTGGGTCCTGTTGCATATGCCACGAGTGGTGATTTGCCATGGTGAGAGGTCTCAAAATCCACCCTCCCTTAACGGAGATAAATTCCAGATAAAACAGCTATGTTGGAAAACATCAAAATGAACCATGAGGTCTCATTTCTGACCTTTACAGAGAGAAAGCTGTGTACAGCTGTTATGTGTGTAGTAGCCACACCACTCCTCGGTGCTTCTGAAATGAACCCCCTAGTTTAACTTGCACAGGATTGGCATCCAACAGATCTAGGTAGTCACTCAAGTGCAGACATACATTTATGACATGGCTTTGAATTTTAAACTAGAAATTTCCTAGCTGGAAGATAGTTCCAATTTCAGTTTGGGTCCTTGCCAGAGATGTATTTACTACTGCAGCTGAAACTTAGTCTTAATTCTCTCTGGATCTATAAATGGGATGGGAGCCACCCCCTTAGTTTTCTGTTGTCTTAAGTGGCCACATTAAATGCTGCCCCTCCCTGAAATTTTAGGCTGGCTACTGGTTAGTGATTGTCTCACCTTAAGCCCCCAACAACAGCAGATGGTCTCGTCCATCTAAGCTGGAAGGACACACCATTGCTCTGGATATAGAAATGTCAGTTCAGTGCCTGGCATGGCATTAACGGCGTACAAGCTTAAGATTTTGCACAGTGGTCTACATTTGATCACTTCTGATTCTTTTGCTGACAAAACACATAGCATTTTCCCCTTAAGTAACCCATAGCTCCACAACCATGCGTATGAATACACATATACATAGCATTCAGATGTAATGGATTCAAAGCATTCACCGATGTTCTCAACTAACTGCTGTTTCTTGTTTAATCTGAATAGGAAAAACTGTGGGGAGGTGGATTTTTTTAGATTCTTTTATCCCCCCTTTATTATTTTGTATAAATAGCTCAAGGCGGTGAACATACCTAATACTCCTTCCTCCTCCTATTTTCCCCACAACAACCCTGTGAGGTGAGGTGGGCTGAGAGAGAGGGACCGGCCCAAAGTTTAAACTGGGATATGTCCTGAACATGCCAACTTCCAACCATGTTCTTTTCATCCAGGTTGATTTGTGCTGGTTTGGATGACATGATAAACTGGAGTTCTAGTGAGTCCTGAAGCAAATGTTTTTGATTGTCTTCTAGAAGTCATACTGAAGGAGAGGGGAGGGAAATGTGGATGGCAGATGTAACATTAAACGTTGATTTAGTGTTGTATTTCAATGAAACTACTGACTCAACCTTGTAACTTCAGCTAAGATGCACCCATCAGATTTCTGCTTGGAATTTTTTCAACATGTTTACAAGTTAGTGAGAAATCTCTCAGGAAAGAAAGAATGTCTGTGGGACAATTTCCAGATCCCATTTCTTTTTCCCACCACCTCTCTCTCTAGCAATACTTCTTTATCAGGGAGCCTTCTTCTGTTGGCTTTAAGTCAAAAAGCTTTTTTAAACATTTGTCTTTTCAGTGCAAAATAATTGCCATCACGTACAAAAACTGCCAGAGATTTTTTGTTACTTTATGGGATTTTAGTTGCTAAAAATGATACGTCCGTGCACATGCAATGTATATCTGAGGTCAAGAATGTGGGCATACACACACATACTGTACACATATATGAACACTCTGTACTTGCACATAAAATGGCACTGTAACTCCAAAATAAGTAAACTCCCATTCCTGGATGGAAAATCATGCTAATATGGATGTTGTTAGCTTACATAAGTTCTTTTTTAATAGTTGTCAAATAGTTGTTCACAGCTATAATACCATGTTTATTGTAAACCGCCCAGAGTCACTCCACAGTGACATGGGCGGTGACAAATTTGAAATATAAATAAATAAAATAAAATAAATGGTGCAAAAGTATTAACGGCAGTACATACTTGGTTGGCTGAGAAACCAAGGCATCCTTATGCAGTCCATAACAGTGGTAGGAATTAAACGTTCCAGGTTCCATAGACACCCCTTCTACAGCTGCAAACTCTTTTTCAACCAGGCCAAACATCTCCATCATTTTAAATCCTGGATACCATAACAGAGGAATACGTGTGTCACTTCTACTTCTTAATATGAACGGGAAGTTAAATATGAGTTATATAATTAAGATTTATATGACAGAGTTTAGCAGCTCAGACATTGCAAATTCTTGCAATCTGACAGTTATGCTCTTGCACAACTATTAAAACATGTTCTCGTGCTTTCAATTTCCATTGTACTCAAAGCAGAAAAGGCTAATTAAGGAACACAGTAGCAGGTAAACCTATTTGATCAGACACCATCCATCTAGATCAGTGCTTCTCAACCTTGGTGACTTGAAGATGTGTGGACTTCAACTCCCAGAATTCCCCAGCCAGCCATGCAAAGGTCCTTGCACATATAGTGACTTCAACCCCCAGAATTCCCCAGCCAGCCATGCAAAGGTCCTTGCACATATAGTAGCAGAAAAGGCTAATTAAGGAACACAGTAGCAGGTAAACCTATTTGATCAGACACCATCCATCTAGATCAGTGCTTCTCAACCTTGGTGACTTGAAGATGTGTGGACTTCAACTCCCAGAATTCCCCAGCCAGCCATGCAAAGGTCCTTGCACATATAGTGCTGCAAAGGTCCTTGCACCTATAATGCTGGGAAAAGTGGAAGGAAAGAAAAGATGACAGCAGCAAAATGGATGAACTCAATTTCAGTGGTTATGGGTATGCCCGTGGAAGACCTGAAGGACCAGGTTGGGGACAGATCAACCTGGAGAAGATTGGGGTTGCTAAGTGCTTACACCGATTTGATGGCACATAATCCATCATATCAATTTAAATTTAAATATAAATCAGAATGGCTTTAGTTTGGCCAATTCTGTTGTTTTGGGCTGCCTACCCCACCCCACCCTACTCTACCCTACTTTTGGAACTGTGAGCCTCAGCCCATAAATGAAAAGCCCAACTGTAGCATTCAAGCTGTAAAACTTGATCATTGTAACAAAACACAATTTATAATTTATAATTTTGCTTGAACACAACTTCTTTCTTTCAACACTGGTTTCCAGTTATAATTTTCTCACCCCATTTATTGTGCAGTGAAAGCAGCACATAGAATGTAATATTATTTTTATTATTTATTTATTTATTTATTTATTTTTTATTTATTTAATTTGGCATAGCCACTCCAGTAGACTCTAGGTGGCTTACAAAATCCAAAAGCAGTAAAACCATTAAAGGGCAGGGCAAGACAATCAAAACAGTAACCAAAACCACATCAGGGCCCCATAAATAACCCAGAATTCTAGATGAATGCCTCTCAACTGCTATCCTTTTTAAGCGGTCACTACTGCAAGCAGATATACCATGTACATATTACATCATCCCCATATTGCTTATTACATGAGAAATGTACTCTCTTAATAAAAACATACCTGCTAAACTATTGCCATCTTTATACACCAATGGACAAGCTGTAAAAAGGAAGAAATAAATGATCTCTGACTAAGAAGAAATATCCATAATGCCAAATGTATTATATGTTTCACCTATGCATGAAAAATCGCATCAACAGCAAGAGATCAAAACTTGCCAAGGCTTTAGAATGTGGCCTGATGCGCAAGCATTTTTATAAAAAGTGTCAAAGATTTATCAAGCACTCCTTTGGCCAAGTTTCTCACACTGCAATTCTTCCTATCAAACAGTAAACTTTGGACACATCTTGGGGCTATTTGTTCTTGATGTAGACATGGCAATGTTGCGATCAGTGAAATCTCTCCATCTATTCTGAACATTCAATCCACATTTGGAAAGCATCACAAAGTCATCACTGCTCTGTGGCTGCAATGTGAGGCAAAGCAGATGTTTGAAGACCAACAGTCATGTCTTTATTTTCTATAGCTGGGACGGTCAACCAGTAACTACAGGAATGCATTGTTATTCCCTTTGGCATTCAGTAGCTCATGATGACACTGCTATATGAATTGTAGCCATTATTATATTGGGTATTACATACTACATATTAATGTAATGTATGGTGGAAACAGAAGGGTGAAAACTTTAAAGAATGACGTGTATTAAGCAGTGTATGGATGGAAACAAGGATGGTTTGCAAAGATAGAAAACTATGGAAAGATACAGTGAAACTAGATTTTGCTTGGCATGGTAAACTTTAACTAGGTATAATGAACTAGTTCTAGCTACATTTCCTTTCCTTTTTTTCTTATTTCCATCCTTTAATTTCTTTTTCCTAACTCCATCCTTAGAAGTTCTTACTCCTTTTCCATTTTTTGCATACCATTGTTTATCCCGAAAGGGAATATCATGATGGAAATATATGTAAGTTTGTATATAACAAGTTCTCCATTACTGTCTTTTCTTGTATTTAAAATATTTTTAGAATTCTTTACATTGCCTGGAGATAATTGAAAGGCTGAGAAGAACATTCTCCATAAATGATAATAAATGACAAATAATCATGCCACTGATTTTCAGTCATCATACTACTAAAATATTGCTTGGAAGAAATGAATTTAACTATGGCAAGATTAACCCGTTATGTTTTTTGTGAAGGTTTAGGGTGTTCCAGAGAATGGAGGCCTCTGGAACATCCTAAACCTCCATTTAGCGTGGAAACATTTAAAACTTTACTATAATTAAAAACAAAGACTTCTCTATCTTATAATGGGAAAATCTTGGCTCCATCCATGTCGATGACATAATCCCACCCACTTTGATTTATCATCCTGGCACTACAGCCCTGGACTCTTCTGAAAAGCTGTCTTTGCTATAAGTCTATGGAAAAGCACACTGAACTCGACATTCTCTATGGCTTGTTCTTTTTTCTTACTGTAGAAGCATCCTATCCAACTTGACAAAGTAGGTGTTCAACGATATGAGCAGTTTCTTTCTTTTCAGTGATGTATTTGTAATTAATTTAATTATAATATTATGTTGGAAACTATTGTTATTCTCTATCTTGAGCACCACCAAATTGTCTATAAATATAATGCATAATTCTATAATGCCACCCTCAAGTGCACCCTTATCTGGGAGAAAACATTAAATGTAATGAGACTGATTTCTAAGTCAACATGAACAGAAATGGGATGCGGTACACAATCATTCTGCAGATCAAGTTAGAAAAATGCTCTTTTTATGTGGGGCAACAGGCAGAAAAAAGTAAAAAAACAACTACTAACTTGCAGAGGCTGTTTCACAGACAAAAGTGATCAATTCATCTTCAATCTTCTTAAAGGCATCAAAGTCATCCACAAAGAAAACATGTCTTTCGCTAGGCTTGCTGCCAATGTTAACCAATTCTGAGTAATCAGCATCTGCTACTCCAATGGCAAATATACTAAACCCTAGAGAAGGAAGGAAGGAAGGAAACGTTCCTGGGATCAGTTAATTGCTAAATACAAAAATAAAAGCTGAAGATATTTTTATTAATCTAGCTGAGGCTTCCCCAGCCCATATCCTCCAGATGTGTTGGACTAAAGATCTGATCATTCCCCAGCTAACAGTCTAAGAGAATGGTGGATATTACAGTCTGATACATCCAGAGGGCAGATTGCAGAAGATTGTTCTAGCTACTTTTGGGGCCAAACCTAGTTTTCTCCAGAGCCCAGAAGAAGTCATAAATCACCTTCTTGCTCTTATCAACCCCATCCGTTTACTCTTTCTGCATTTTCAGAAAAGGATTGGTTTTGGAATCCCTTTCCTTTGGCTAGCCAAGTTTATTTTAGAAAGAGAAATGACATATTTCGGACTCAGAAGGATAAAGAAGCATATTGCCCTTATTTCTCTCAATAACATATGACTTAATACTAACATTTGCTTTGCCAGCATACTACTATTGCAAACTGGAGTATTTTGGAAGGTAAAATTATAGGAACTACAGTCCCAACAAATCTTGAGGGCACCAGGTTGAAGAAGGCTAGCATGAACACTAATCTGGAAGCTAATCCTATGGAAGGCTTGCTTCTGAGTAAACATTTATGGACTGCCCTGTATGTGTCTTGCGGCATCTAAGTATCCAATTAGCTAACAGATTTGCATCTAAGTATCCAATTAGCTAACAGATTTGCAAACAATTAGGGATCACATATGTTACACCATTATTTGCTCAATCATGGTTTATTGAATAAACTACAATTGGCTAGGTTCACAAAATAAATTAACTGAGTCATCTTTGTACTTTCCATGGAAGGCCAGCCATGTTTGTATCAAACTGGGAACACTGTGATTGTTTCCTAAGAAAATGAAACCTTACCGTCTAGTTGCATCTCTCTAGAAACTTGGTTCACATCATCTTGAGACCGCCCATCTGTGATCACTACTAAAACTTTTGGGATCCCCTTCCTGGTTCCAGACTCCAAAGTAAATAAGATCTGTTGTGCGTGTTTAATTGCTCTGCCTAAGGAGGGAGGGAGGGAGAGAGGGAAAGAAGTTCTCATGTGGTGTTAAACTACTATTCGTTGTCTAAGAAAAGCTGCAAAGAACCTCAACTTTGAAAACTCTATCTCTTCTCCTACAGCTCTTCTTGCAATCCAACCCACCTGTTTTGGTGTTTCCCCCTTTGTATGCTATGTGCTTAATGGCATCCAATAGAGTTTCTTTGGTTCTGTAGGCATTCAGTTTAAATTCTGTCCTTGGATCATCACTGAACTGAGCAATTGCCACCTGAATAACAAAGACACCTTAATAATAATTAAAATACACAATTTAACAAGTGGAGTGGGGCATTCATTCAGTTTTTTATTCATCCTATGAGTTAGATATGGGAAGGAACATGAAGCAAGAAGATTAGTAAAAGATGTCTGGTCACCAGGCCAAAGAAAGTGGGAAATTTTTCTCCCTCTCTCAAAGTACTAGGACTGGGGTCATGCAAATAATGCTAATTTGATAGAGATTTAGAACAGACAAAGGGGTACTTTTTCATGTAGGTCATAATTAACCTTGGTGAAAACATACAGATTAAAAACTATGGAGAAATGTAGCCGCCAGCAATCTTTGGACTGCATCTGAATAGAAATGTGAAAAATAAACAAACTATTTTTTTTCCGGATTCATTCATGGTGGTACTATATTTTGATACAAGTTAAGACATTTCACACTCAACTTTAAAATATTCATATATATTTCTTCAATGAATCTACTCCCTCACTCACCTGAGTTCCATCAGGACCAATCTTGTCAAGAGCACCAACAGTGCTATATAGAAAGCCAATTATTTTGTTGAAATTTTCATCTCCAATACTCCAAGACCCATCCACCAAAAACACCAGGTCAGCCTTTGCAGCTTTGCAAACTGCAAAAATACACAAAGCACTTTGAAATTTAAAAAAACAGCAATTCCATGAAAAATGGTCGGAGGCATGTTCATATCCACAGATATTTTCACTTATTTTGACAAACTTTTGTTCCACATAATAGGCCACAAACTACTCCTTACCTTTTTACCAGCATTTGCACATTTCTCCATCAATTTCCCAATTTTAGTAAACAATCTAAGGTACACAAATTCATCTATGTGCTTTAATTTCATATCTTACTTGCAATTCTTGATTTAATTTTCCCTGTCAAATATAACTACTTTGGTCTTTAATACATTAATTTGCAGATCCATGCATATTCTTTCATAATACAATCTAACATTCACTGCAAATCATTCAGCTTCTCAGCCAAAAACATAGCAACATTTCCATACAAAAGTAATGCATATTCATATCTCAGCAAACCCAACTCTAATATCACACAGGCATCCATTGTACATCTATCCATAGACACTTTGAATAACCAAGGAGACAATGCCAAGACATTTGCTAAGCATTTCATTTATTCTCACACATGCTTTACTTCCATGATACACCATTCTTAGTGATCAATCAACTTTTAACTCCATGTTTGCTAAGAATTTTTCATAATTCACTCCAACTCACTTCATCACACATTATCTTGAAATCAACAAACATGCAATACAATTTCCTTCTCACATTCATATGTTTCTTAATGACCGGCTACACAGCAAAAATTTGGCCTGCACCCCCTGAAACTACCAAATAATGGTGCATGCCATATTCAGAGTCTTTTGTCGCTTTTGTATCATTCACTAGTTTTCTCACTCTTTCATCATAAACTATAAAAACAATTGTGCCATTTTTCTTCCATATGCTTAGCCTATGCTTAAACCACACGCTCAGAACAAAGACCACCTTTAAGCAGATACAAAACAGGTACCATTCTAATTCATTCTTTTTTTCTTTTTACAGAAAGATTACCTTCCTTTGCTGGAGGAATCGTAGGCTGTGGAGTGGTGGTTGGAGGAGTTGGTGGTGGTTCAGTTGGATATGGCACTGAGGCGGAGAAAAGAAAAGTTAGAAGGGAACTGTATAGCAGGGTTCCTCAACCTTGGCAAC